GGTAACATAGGAAATTAACCATGAATATTTATTCACGGTTTTTGCAAAATAATATAAAATATAATTCATATATTAAAAAAATTGGCCAAATAAAATGAAAAAAGAAGGATTATTAAATATATCTAATTTTTTACTCACATTATATGGAGAAAATATCTTTACTGTCTGTAATGTGTTTTTATCCTCATTTTTAATTCTAATATATATGATATATATACACAGTTAAAGTCAGAATTTTTAGCCCCCGTTTATTATTATTTCCTTGTTTTCTGTGTAACAGAGAGCAGATTTCTTCAGCATATTTTTGTAGTCATAATAGTGTTAATAACTCATCTCTAATAACTGATTTATTTTCTCTTTGTCATGATGACAGTAAATAATATTAGACTAGATATTCTTCAAGACACTTCTATACAGCTTAAAGTGACATTTAAAGGCTTCACTAGGGTAATTAGGGTAACTAGGCTGGTTAGGGTAATTAGGCAAATCATTGTACAATGATAGTTTGTTCTGTAGACTATTGAATACAATTATAGCTTAAAGGGGCTAATAATATTGAGCTTAAAATGGTGTTCAAAAAATTAAAAAAATGCTTTTATTCTTGCCGAAATAAAACAAATAAGACTTTCTCCAGAAGAACAAATACTATCAGAAATACTGTGAACATTTCCTGAATCTGATCAACATCATTTGGGAAATATTTAAAAATAAAAATTCAAACGGGGGCATATAATTCTGACTTACTTGACAACTGTGTGTTTGTGTGTGTGTGTGTACACACACACACACACACACACACACACACACACACACACACACACACACACACACACACACACACACACACACACACACACACACACACACACACTTTTCTTAAATTATTATTTATGTTTATATTTTACAAAAGAGATTTGGTAAAATATTAAATTAACACTGAAGATTAATTATTTACAGTTTTTGCTAAATTTATTCTTAATGTATCCACCTTTAATGCATCTTAAATATCTCATTATGCATGCATTTGACTAGTTAAAGCTAATCTACATTCCCATTGCTTGTGCATACGTGATGTTTTATTTGTGTAATGTAGTTTCACCTAGGCATTAATAATCAATAATTCAGCTTTATGCAGGTAAACTAAATGCAAAGCTTAATAAATACAATAAGATACACCTGAAAGCAGAAACATGTTAAAGAATCTTTATTAGTTTGATGCACGTTATTAATCAGACCTCTGCTAACACAAATCACAAATATAAATTAATCATCAGTGTGTGCGGTTAAAATGCTGACGTTAAATAACAGTGTGTGTGTGTGTGTGTGTGTGTGTGTGTGTGTGTGTGTGTGTGTGTGTGTGTGTGTGTGTGTGTGTGCGCGCGTCACATGACCATCCCTCCGCCCATGATCTCCAGCCTCTGCAGAAACACAAACAGCAGCAGTTTTGGGTGAATAACCTCCAATAAAGTGATTCATCACTAATAACATCATTAACACGATGATTATATGTAGTTCCTCTGCTTCTCTGAGTTTTGATTGACACTGAACTGCTGAATACAGTGATTAATGGAAGTACAATATAATTAAATAACCTAAATGAACAGTGCTCGCTTACTTCAGCAAGAAAAGTCATTTAATTACAGGAACTAGCTACTCTGAAACTAATTAAACCCAATATAAACAGTGTGTGTGTGTGTGAAACTGACTGCTGCCTCATGTTTATTCATGTACCTGCGGCGGCTCGATGAATGCCAGCCAATCAGAGGAGTGCGTGGGGAGGAGCCCCATTGATTGACACTTGTAGATGGCCAATGCGGAGCCCAGCAGGTTCCCGATGAGGTAGACCAGACCCTGCAGCCACTGCTGACTGGAGCTCTCCAGCAGCTTAAACGCTGCAACACAACAACATAATTACTAAACATACTATATTCAACATGATCTGAACATATATTAAACATAACTGATCTGATATTTGTAGCAATGAGGGAATTATATTTATTAATATAGGGGGGCAGACCACAGGCACAGAGAGAACAAGGTGCCTGCTCGCGCCTGGGAAGAGGTGGGAGATGCGCGTTGACTCGGACTCTCAGCTTATCTTTCCCACAGAGATCACACAAACAGCACTAAGACCAGACGCAGTGATTTGGGCAGCAGCGGCTGAGAAGGTCCTGGTGATTGAGCTGAGCCAAGGGAGGAGGGAATGGCAGCGGCGCATGAGTTCAAGCGGCACAAGTACTCAGACTTAGCAGCAGAATGTAGAGTCGAGGGCTGGACGGAGACAGTACATCACATTGAAGCTGGGTGCAAAGGGATTCGTTAGGAAGCCGGTATAGTTATTTTCCCTGCAGGGCATCTGGTGATGAGTCTGGAGTGCGGTAGCCCATTAAGGGCAGCTGCAGGGGGTGGCAGGGAGACGTCCCCTCAAGCCACTGCCCCCCCACCGGGCGGTGTACTGGGTAGGGGGCGAAACATCAGTGAACGGTGGTACCAGCTGACGACCCTGCAGCTGACCAAAAAGTGCACTGGAGGAGGTGCGGCAGGCAGTAATGTCTAACAGGTGCTTACTGGCATTGGAAAAAAATTATAATGCATATTTATCTGGGGGTAAATGCATATAATTATAATATAATGCATATAAGGTTTGTAGAAATGAAAAAATAATTGTGTGTGTGTGTGGGGGGGGGGGGGGGGTGAATATTTATGCACAATTATTTTACTAACTTTATCAAAATATTATTTTCAATAACTGATCCATTTTGGCACACTACAATTATGTTTGTGGTGAATATTTATGCACACAAGTTATGTTTACTAATAATGAAATGTATGATACAATATTTGCAGGAATGCATTACTGTGTTTGGAGAGGGATGTTTATGCATATAATAACTTTGAGTTTAATAACCTTTTTGGAATATTTGTAGAAATGAATTAATAATGTTTGCGGGGCGGGAGGTGAATAGTTATTATTTTATTTTTTTATAATTATTTTTTCGGGGTTTTCACCTTTATTTTTGATAGGACAGTAGAGAGTATTGACAGGAAAGCATGGGGAGCAGGGAGAGGAGAAGGATCGGCATAGGACAGCAAGGCGGAATCAAACCTGGGTCGCCGCAAGCACCAGAGTGCATGTGTCGACGCACTAACCACTACACCACTGGCGCCGACGAGGTGAATAGTTACGCACAATTATTTTGTGTGTAATAACCAATGACTGTAAAAAATATGGACGACGCGACAGCCTCTTTTCCCATTGAACGCCTTGAGGGCAAAACGCCTGCTTGACGGGCACAAACTGTCGCAAAAGACTGCTGAAATTGGAGCCTTGACATGCGCAGAAGGACTGTCTGATGGAGCCAGAGGAGGAGCCGCGAAAATGAGCGGAGTCGAGCTTCCAACCAAACGCTTTATGTAAAATCAACTACGCCCCCCAAACTTCTCAGCATGCGTTTGCTGTCATATCAACACAAATGATGTAATAACGTTAACAAATATGAGGGTTTTATATTTTTAATTGCGCCAGCTCCGGGCCACAGCGCATAACCTACTGCTCAGACCATAGACTGGCTCAGACGCGCTGCTTTGACAAACTGTCAATCACAGCTGTCAATCACGATGACACGCCCAGCATTAAATTACTGTTAAAAACAAACTGTTTACAAAAATGAAGATCTGCACCTATTTCAGCACAATAACCAGTGCCTTAATCGACCAGAACCATCTTTCGGGACATTTTATTGCAAGTGTAATAATTGTTTTTATCTGGGCTCAAGTCTCCTTCATTAACACGGAGGAGGCGGGCTTTATGACTTGTACTGCAGCCAGCCCCCAGGGGGCGATCTAACGGCCGAGACCTTCACTCAAACGCAGGCTTGCGGCACACTTGGTAATAACAGGTCCATTTTTGGCAAAGTACAATGGTTTTTCTTTTGGGGGGTTGGGGGGGGGGTAAATTATATGTATATAAATACTTTGTGTTTAATGACTGATCTTTTTTGGCATATTAGTAGGAATGAATGAATCATGTTTGGAGAGAGGGTGAATGTTTATGCACAGCAAGGTTATTTCAGTTAACAAAAATGAATGGAAAAAGCAAAAACTAAAATGTAAAATAATTGTCGTTAACCGAAATAAAAATAAAAACGAGTTTTTTCAAAAACTAGAACTAAGTGAAACTGTATTGTGTGCATACAAAACTAACTGAAACTAACTAGAATTAGAGCAAAAACCTCCTTCGTTTTCGTATTTGTGAATGTATTTAATACATAATCTTCCTGTTTGCCTTTTAGAAGTAAATATAATCCGCGCTGCAGGTGTTTGTGTTTGACCCTTTCGCACCTCAGAGTCTCCTGCTGCCATTGGCCTGATTGAGCCGGTTGTCCTCCAGTCATCCTCGCTGTTGCACCCGTGACAAAAACAACGAGTGGACATGACAGCAGCACGGTGACAGCATTCAATACAGAGACTTAAAAGTATTACTTTAACTCGTTTGTGCCCAATAATGGGTTTTATATCTGTATCGCGATCGCGAATGAATCTTTTTAACCGGATCTTCTAAGTGAACCAGTTGAACTAGTTCACCAAATCGAACTGAATCATTTGAATTGATTCGTGTCTCCTGCAAGCACTTATCCACCCACTACTTACTATATAACAAGCCTAATACCCCGCTCTGACTCTAAATAACCCAATATATACTCTCATGCAGTTATTAGAACAGCAACGTTGCATTGAGAAGCCGTAGACTGATAATACTGCGCATGCGTGATTCAGTGAACCAAACACAGAGCACATGACAGCCTGCTGTGTGGCTGAACTGAACTGGAACAAGTGCAGCGCGGGTAAACCGAGGGCTTAAATAAGAGGATCTGGTGAAAAACGTAAGTTTAGTTCATAACAGAGAATCGTAATGGAGTTTAAACCGCCAACTTATCCAGCATGTTTTTACGCAGCGGATGCCCTTCCAGCCGCAACCCATCTCTGTGAAACATCCACACACACACATTCACACACACACACTCATACACTACGGACAATTTAGCCTACCCAATTCACCTGTACCACATGTGTTTGGACTGTGGGGGAAACCGGAGCACCCGGAGGAAACCCATGTGAAGGCAGGGAGAACATGCAAACTCCACACAGAAACACCAACTGAGCCGAGGTTCAAAC